AAGTGTAAGTGTAGAAGGACTTAAGAAATTACACAGAAATATTAGATGTTAAAATAAATATTTAGCTACCAAAAAAAAAAAAAAAAGCAAGCGTGCTCACAGAATATTTTAGGGTTCTGAAGAATTCTTGTGAGGGGTATAAATTCATTTTGTATTCCTGGATAATTTTCCGTAACTTTCTTTTATTACACGAAATATGCTTGTGGACGTTATCATATATGCAACTGATGGGGTGGTATCACAGAACAGAGCTGTCCAACTGATGGCTCATCAGTCGGTTTTGGTGTGTTATTCTTTTTGCATACAACATTTTCAGTATTGCAATGGATTTAGAAGCAATATCCCAACCCAGTTGGTTTTGCATAGCCTGTCAGAGTATCCTTCCATTCCCCCTAAACGTGTTAAGAGTTTCCTCCTTTTGAAAAAAAAAAATGGGCAGAAAATCTTGTCAAATTTTATAAAGAGTGCTCACTACATATACTGTGTAATTTTCATGCTGATTTCTCACAATTCCAATAAATAACTTACAAAAATGTAGAATTAATGTGATTCCTTGATCATGTGAGTTATCAATACAATCTAGCAAAGCTTTTGTGGCTGAATCTTAAGCACACTTGACCTTGCAATAATGGTATTATGTTCAGTACACTCGTGTTGCCCTAATCTCTAATTAATAATACTGTTTAATTTTATCGGAACAAATATATTTTTATAATGCAGCCCTTGCGTGGGTACTGTGCAGCCCCACAGTGGTTTGAAGTTGTACAGTGCTGCTGCAGAATATGCTTATAATACCATTTCACTGCAAATCCTTTCCCAAATAAGATAGTGAATAATCTTTCACCTGCCATTAAAAGTTTAAATCATGATATGAAAGTATCTACATTAGCATCCAGCACAAATCCTGATCAAGAAGTCACATAGAAATGCAACTGCATGACCTGGCAGTACCAACACCAATGTTCTCTTTTTTATATGTATACAGAAGTACAGGTCTGAGCTCAAAGTCGAACAGAGGATCTATCTCGTTCCCTGGCATGGTGCATACAGACTTAAGAGAAGCCGCGGTGTACACGTTGCAGAACGTTTAGAGCTAATTTGAGGCAAAACATCGGAGTTTTCATTGAACAGAGAACTGTCCTTATACATCTCCAGGTTCTGTGACTTGCCAGCACATTGCTATTAATACAAACAGCCAGGCCACAGAATCTGCCTAAGGCTATCATTAATAGAACTCACTCCTACTCTGCAGAATAACTTACTTTAATAGAAAGTTCTTATGTACAGTCATACCTCAAGCTTACCACGATTTAACTCAACCCCAAAAAACATGTTGAAATAAAAAAATCATAAGATGAGGTAATTACAACACAGGACATAGAGGGTTACAATTTTGGGGTTCAAGACCACATTTAAATATTTTAACCCCTCATATTCATGGAGCTGAGCCCTTCTGGAGGAGCTGCCAATTCTGCAGCTACTCAAGAATTTCCCAGCATTTTATGGAACCCGAAGGTTCATCACCGTGTTCACAAGAGCCCTCCACTAGTCCCTATCCTGAGCCAGATCAATCCAATCCATACCATCCCATCCTATCTCTCAAAGATTCATTCTAATACTGTCCACCCACCTACGCCTTGGTCTTCCCTGTGGTCTCTCTCCTTCTGGCTATCCCATCAATATCCTATACGCATTTGTCTCACCATTCGTGCTACATGACCTGCCCACCTCATCCTCCTTGGCTTGATCATGCTAATTATATTACTCTGTCCAAAAAGTATCCAACCTTGGGCCAGGGAAAAAAAATTATGTATCTGGGTGGTTACAATACCTAATCGCCTTCAAAGTAGGCCCCTTGTAACTCCACACACTTAGCCCAGCGGTCCTTCCATCGCTGGAAGCAATTCTGGAAGGCTTCTTTTGGAATGGCGTGCAGCTGCGCTGTCACATTCAGTATGATGTCCTCGGGGCTGTCCAAACAGCAGCCTTTTAGCGGTGTCTTCAATCTCGGGAACAGCCAGAAATCAAAAGGAGCCATGTCAGGAGAGCAGGGAGCCTGGCGAACCTGCGGAATGCCGTGCTTGGCCAGGAAACCCTGGATCAGGTGTGATGAATGAGCTGGGGCATTGTCATCATGCAGCTGCCAGTTGCGTGCGTCCCACAGCTCCAGTCTCTTGCGCCGAACTGCGGAGGACTTCTTGGTAGTACTCCTTATTGACAGTCTGGCCTAGTGGTGCATACTCATGATGCACAACACCCCGGTAATTGAAAAAAACAGTCAGTATCACCTTCACATTGTTCCGAACCTGTCGTGCTCTTTTGGGCCTCGGGGATGTTGGATGCTTCCATTGTGATGCCTGGACCTTGGTTTCTGGGTCATATCCGTACACCCATGACTCGTCACTGGTGATCAGTCTTCAGGAACTCAGGAACCCTGTTGGCGCATTCCAGCATATCCTGCACGACCTCAAGACGGAGTTCTTGCTGCTCCAGTGAAAGCAGCTTGGGCTAAAATTTTGCTGCCACTCTTCACATGCCCAAATCCTCAGTTAAAATTGTGTTTGCGGAACCTCTGCTGATCCCAACCTCATCAGCAACTTCATGGATGGCCAAACGACAGTCCTCCATGATCAGTTTCTGCACTTTTTCAATGACATCAGCATTAACAGTCTCCCGGAACGCTGCTCACTGTCCACCGACATACAGCCATGTTTAAAGCGGTTGAACCACTCTTTAATCTGAGTAACCCCCATTGCATCATCGCCGAAAGCCTGCTGAATTTTGCGAATTGTTTCCGATTGGGTATCCCCAAGTTTCTGACAAAACTTAATGCAATATCGCTGCTCCAAGCGTTCTGTCATCTTGAGTGAAACGAGAATGTGACGAGCACGTTACACCACTTCGCTATCTGGCAGCCACAGACGCATCTGGGAGTGTTGCGAGTCAGCAAAAAATCACGCATGTGCACGAAAGTCCCTTCTACCACTACGCTCACCCCTTTGGCCATTACTTACAGTGGAAGAAAATAAAGTTGGATACTTTTTGGACATACAGTATTTGGAGAAGAGTACAAGTTATGAAGCTCCTCGTTATGCAGTTTTGTCTAACCTTCCGTCACTTCACCTCTCTTCGGTCCAAATATTCTCTTCAACACCCTGTTCTCAAACACCCTCAGTCTACTTTCCTCCCTTCATGTCAGAGGCCAAGTTTCACACCCATACAGAACCACAGGCAAAATTATAGTTTTGTATACTCTAATTTTTATTACGTTATAATTCTATTCCTTTTTGTAAAACAGAGAAACATCTAACATATTATTAAACGTTTCAACTACTAAGAAAGAGTTATGACTCCAGCCACCACAGCATTACAACATAGTTCAAGATTTACAACGTGAACTATGTAGCTTACACTGGAAGAGTGGTTCCTGGGTTTCTGAGGTCTTAGGCATTCAGAAGAATCTGTCCATGGTACAAAATTTGAGTTCTGAGTTGTAAGTCCAAAAATTTGGAGTGTGTCTAATGGGTGTTACTTTAAGAGGATTGTTAAGTCTTGAAATTCTAAAGTCAGGAAGTCATAGGTAGGGGGATGACTGTATTCTAAATATTTATGATGAGTTCTTTGATAGAATTACTTATTTTGCTATATTATAAAAGAAGATATCTGTAAACAGGTGTGGCAACCATGTATTTACATATGAATGACAGGAACATGACATGTTCTACAACCTTGACTGTCCTATGAAGGTTCAATGAAAGTCTAATTCTTCTACCATTAGATGCTAAATAATCTACACAGTTTAAATTACGTCAAATCAAATGAGAATTAGTCATAAATACAGAATGGATATTTCAGAGGTTAGACAATATATAACTTCAAAATTTTTAAGAATTCTTCAAACCACTGTAAATGTGTACACAAACGACACATGAATAACAAATAAAAACACAGATCACGCTGGTCACAAATAATATTTTTAATAGATTAACGTTTGTTGATTGTACAATTTCTTGTGATACTGAAATATCAAATGCTCTACCAGTATTGTACATGTAACTAACAATATATACAAGAGCTGTAGGGCACTGCCAGCAAGTTTATTTCGAACACGAACACAGAATGCAGCAGAACACACAAGAATCATGCTGTTCTTACAGGAATTATACGTGCCACTATATCCTACACATGAAAATATCTAGAACATAACCTAAAAGTGACGGCCTATCACTACAGTCTAGGAAGTAATAAATCAGAGATCTAGGATCACAGTTATATACATAGCCTAGTGAAATTATCTAATTTTAACATATTTACCAGACAGCAACTTAAAAAGGAGCATGTAAGCATACAGGTAGATTATAAAACTTCGTAAACTCACCAGTTACCGGATCCAACAATGCACACTTTTTTTGGTTTTCCAGGCATTACTGAACGAGCTAACTGTCGTGGACAAGAGAAGCAACGGAGGAGAGCTACTAAACAGCTTTCCTTCCTGTGTATATAACAAGCCTGAAGCAAACCTTGGACTCTGGGCCTCACGGGCCCGCTGCCAAGGCTAATCAAAGTAAAAATCCACCATCGACTTGGTATACTGCACAATCGAATCGAAGGGGCGGACACAGCTGATTTCAAGGTCGTCTGCAATTTTACCGTATTTCTCGCGACGTGATACATAAATAAATAAAAATTATACTCTGTGGATTATAAATTAGTTTAGACAAAAAGAAATACTAAAAATAAATCTCTAATCTTACCAATTTATGAGGATAAATATTGTAACGAAGGCAGTGTATAACCCAACAATTATATAGCGCTGCTTCCACAGATTACCTTGGGCATCACCTGTGCTAAATTAGAACTTCCTATGGCGTTTCGTTGTCCCAGTCAGTAAGGAGCCGGGTCACTTAACGGCATGTTAGGAATCGGGTCAATATACCACCACCACCATTCAATTAACGGCCTGGCTCACTGTATATATGTTAGATACATACACACTGCAATTTAAATGACTAATTTCAAAACTTTATTAATTGCTCTCAAATATTTTTTTCTTTTTTGTAATACAACATAAAAGAAAGATGTCTTATAGAAACGTGAACATACAATCCACAAGAATTTACCACTACTCATAGCATACCAGACAATTTTTTCCACTTTATTCACATTCATGCTTAGATACACATTTCCTGTGTAAATAGCAAGTTGATAGTATGGATGTACATGGATGTATTTTTGAATAGCCTTATATGTAACCACTGTGTTTCCTTGTATTTTCTTATGTGAAAACTTCAGTTGTACTGTACACACATTTTTTGTATTTATGACCTATTTCCCATCCTTCAGTCATCTGACTAACTCGGAATCCTGGGAATGTAATGTAATGTAATTTAATGTACACAAGAAAAACAGATGCCTTCATTTGGCTTCAAGCCAATGTTCTGAGCCATATTTCAGAAAATCTTACATAACCCTGTAACACACCATTGATCAGACAGTCCTCACTCACCTTCTTCCATCCCAGTGTTCTCAGAGTGTGAGAATATAAAAGTGCAAGGGTTGCCAGCACACACACACACACGTTTTTATTTATCAGTTCACAATACAATACATATTTCGACCCAGAGAGGTCATCAGGTGGAGGAAATATACAAATGATGGCAAACTAAATATAAACTATAGTGCAAATATAAAAAACCATTAAAAACTGTACTAGTAATGTAGTTTATATGTAGTCTCTCACCAGTTGTCCATGATATGTATGTATTGGCTGTCTTGTAGTGCACTCAATCTCACATGTCACTTCACTACATGTTTCGGCATCACTGTGACATCCTCAGGTGTTATTTACGTCAAGCTACTGCATTGCTCGCCATCATGTGTCGTTTCCTCAAAAATTGCCTGATGATCTATCTGTGCCAAAACATGTTGTGAATTAAAAGAAAAAAAAATTCATTTGTGTGATCGCAGCCCCTCCACTTTTATTGGTATGCACCACATACAGCTTGCAACACAACAAAAGTGTGAGAATATAATTCTTTCTTACTTTCTGCAACACCATTTTCTTATATATATATATATATATGAGGTGCAAATAATTTTACTTGTGCAATAAAAGTACTTAATCTATGACCTGAAATCTCAAGGACTTTTTTAACCTATCAAATTACTTCTGTAAGGATAAGTGTAATGTACATGACAATGCTTCATCTCTCTCTTCCTTCTTATGGACTCATTTTACCTAGTTTGAAGGACACTTCAAAACACAGTTTTGGGAATAACTGACCACAGAGCTTCCTATATTCCATATAGGATCCATGGTGTGAGGAAAATTTTCGCATCAAATAACTGCTAGTGATCTCTTTACCAAAACTCTCACAATTTAGTCACCAATTTTATAAAATGTACAAAGGTCTTAATGCGGCAAAATCCTACATAAGGATTTCTACAAACTGGGTTAAAAGATTCATACTTTGAGAAGTTAATTCTGAATTAGAACACGCCAGAGGTCCTAGTCTGTAAAACATTAATATTTCCCTACGTCATCCTGTTTTGCAGTTGCCTCTGGGTCCCACTTTTAGCAATATACAATTTATATGAGTCAATATGATGCAAAACATTACAATCATGTTTCTACTGACTTTAACTCTCCATATTTCTGCCACATCAGAATGGTCAAGATACCATTGCTACAACACAGAAAGTTATGTTGATCACAGCCCATGCCATTAAATTGTTAAATATTCCATACACATTAAAACCGTACTGGTTTCCATATCCACGGAAAAAATGTCCAGAAGCAACTGAACCTGAATCAGGTCTTCATCATGAAAATGTCAAGTCATCAATGTAGGGCATCCATTATTTCTGTCCAGTTTCAACCAAAATTGAAACATTTCTACAAATTCTGGTAAAACTCCCCAATACCAAAACAGTTTTGTCTTCCAGGATATAGTGCTGTGTAGTCTAACATTTCAGGTGATTTTCAAAGGACTACACGGCATTATATCCCAGAAGATAGAAATTTTCGTAACCACTGCTGTGTAAACCTCAAATCCTACAACCCCAATATAAAATTTACTGAAAAACTGATTAGCAGTTCTGGAATTGTTATGTATGGAGAGATGGACCAACAGACATCGCAAAGCTATATGTGTATATTTGGAATTTCACCATGAATAGGGCAAAAACAAGCACAATTTTACCCTCTGGACAGAGAATGCCATACCAATTTTTTCCTGTCTCTCACACAATATAAGTTAGAATAACTATTGATAATATGTATATATGGCATCACGGTTACCCCATACAACATACTTTCAACAAGTACTGTTCTTTGAGACAGTATGTGTCTGTGCATATACTGGCAAACTCATCACAGATGCACATCTGCCAATGCATTGTTTGTTTCAACTTTGAGGCTACAGCTGAGAGCACCAGCAAAGTTTTCTGAATAAGACTGCCATACTTAACTGCCCTGTAACATGATGATTCCTTCAGAAACTGCTTGAATGTAATTAAATTCAATTCTATATATCAGAGTGTGGCTTACTGATCTACATGCAATAACATCCAGTCTTTGCTGATGTACATAAATTCACACATTTCTGCAGTATAATATACTGTAGCATATTGAAGCACAAATTCCCAAGCAATAAAACAGTTTCTGATAACCAAATAATTTGTATTTATGTACAGTTTACCTAATAATGCTGTCACTATGCAGTGTTGAATGGTTCGGATATAGTTAACTGGAAAGCATGGGGAAAGAAGCAGTCATACCATAATTAAAGCTATCCCTGCATTACTTGGAGGGACTGAGGAAAGAAAAACCTGGTCAGAAAAGTTAGTCTCCAAGCTGAGATCTAAATCCAAGACCATATGAGTACAGAGCAGGAATGCTACCCATTCCACTGGGATGTTCAGTATGATTGAAAATAATGTTTTGTGGCACATGCAGTCCTGGGTCACTTCATGTCGATTTCCACAGTGTGACTACTCAAGTGACTTGCAAATGTGAACACCACTTGCATATTACTGGTAGCTGCTATGCAAAGTCTATGTGCGACATTGGCTGAGATTGGGAAATTATTTACGCTTTTACACCTACTCCACAAGCAAGACATTTCACACCCAACTTCCAATGCGTGTATAATTTGAATTAAATGAGGCTGAACATCATTATTTTCTGGACTGTGATCCTGAATATTTGTGGTAGAATTTTATCAACATTCTGGAGGAGGGTAATCCTCATATCTTCAAAGTCAAAGATTAAGCCAAGCAAGCACTACACATCATGACATCCCAGGAGATAGTATTCTTGACAGTCATTGCCATCAGAACCTTAAAGTCCACACAATGAAAGCAAAATTACTCTATTTGCTAGGCGAGAATCAGCTATTGCAGAAATGTGAAATATGACCAAACGAAATGCAATTGAATGCAGCACTGCTAAATATTTTGCAAGTCAATGTATTCTGAGATATAGCTCACTTGATATTTCAGACATACTATACATATACCATTCTTAGTCTTCAAGAAGATATCTGTTGTAGCTGGAATGACTATACAACTCACACAAGTTACGAACACTGGTGACAAAAGAGGGGCTGGCGGTACTTACATACCGGCTGGTGATCCAAGTAACTTTAAAAGTTACAACTACGTTGTCTGCTGTGTTAGCACTGCCAACCTTAGAAGTTTACTTGTAAAAATAAGACCCAAAGCCTACCCTCAGAATTTGCCTCAGATAACATTTCCACAAGGTTAAGACTTTGGTTTTGTTCTGTAAAGGTTAAGCCTTGGCTGCATTTTTGAAAAGGCTCTTTGTTTAATTTAAAAAAAAAAAAGAATATCCAAAGACTTTCTAAGGTTAGGCACTGGGTTTTGATTTTAGATATAAATTTGCATGGGCGCCAGCACTAACTAGGGAGAAAACATGGTGGCAAAGTATTCAATATTACTTCAATCACCTGTTAATACAAAAGTATTGAGATGACACAGGATAAGTATGATTTCAAGACAAGAACGATTATATCAGTTCTCTTTTAAAAACTTGGATATATCTGTTGTTAGTACCAGTCGTGGCTGATTGGTGATATACAAAAATCAGAATATTAATTGTCAGAGTCCGTTTCCTGAAAAGAAAGAAACAACACTGTTTTAGCTGTCGGACAGTAAAGGTGACCTGAAGTACAACTGTACAGCATACAATTCTACAGTACAATAAGGGACTCAAAAACAATATATGGACTACGAACAGAGACTGTACTTCCATCCCTGCTTTAAGGGAAGAACCTCTTCTCCCTTCTACTATGTCTCCCATCCTGCTGTTGAACTGCTGTCAAACTGAATGTGAATGAGTGACTGATTTGGGTACTCATTCTTAAGGTCAGATCATTTTGTGGTCATTGAATACATGACTGTCCGGTGAGCATAACAACCGATATGGAAACTCAGATTAATTATAGTCATCAACACAACAACTTTTAAATAAAACTGATACTGAAACACATTATACAGAACAGGATGCAAAAAATAAAGATAATTCTAACAATACTGTCACTTCCTTACTGGTAGATGCAGGGCAGAAAATAAGTGCAATGCTCTGACCCATACCACAGGTTTTGGATCCAACGGTTCTACTATGGTGATGAAGTGTTCAGTTTTGTGACATGTACGTCTTTGGTACAGAGCACTGGAAAGTGTGTGAACTGTACATACAAGCATAATCCTGCTTAGTACTGGAAGCATTCAAAATACTCCGTAACACCAGCCACACCGACACAGAGTAGAACCAAAAGTCATCATACTGAAGACCTTGCTGAACACAGAGGACTTCCATTCAATAAGGCTGCCTGCTCAAGGTAAAAAGATGTTTCAGACAGCCAATAATAAATTGGATGGTAGGTGAATGTGCTAATAGGAATACCCTCTGTTGTCGTTTTCATTAGAAATGCCTATTCAGAACCGTTTCTTGAAATTGGTATTTTTTCACTGGTGCTGTGATGTTATAAATGGGGTACAATTAAGTAAAGCCATAGACAGTTAGGCATCAATGAATAAGATTCAGGCTGCTGCTTGTGAAATCTTTGCACTTACTGTAGGGTCACAATCTGCACAATGCCAAGAATAACCTCTTCTTTTTGGTGTCTTCTTTACAGGTGGATCCAGGCAAGTGAAGTGGAAACACTTCATACATTCATCACATCTGAAAAAGAAACCATGAATTATAAATGCTGAACATATACACCATGGTTCATAACCGCACACAATGTTAATATGGAAAGTTGGTTGGTTAGTTTCTAATGCCACACTTTGACAATTATGTCAATTGTGCTTTTAACCTCAGCTTGGTGGTGTATTTGTAATTAATTTTCTGTTCGGACACCACCTGGGTTAGTTACATTATCCTGCTGTCCAGTACACTGCAGTTGGCTTAGGTAACTTCATGTTGGTTCCACTCTTATCTACCAGAGGTTTCTGCAGTCATGTGACTGCAGCAGCATCTAGAAGCAGAGTATAGAGCTTCATGGGTGACTGAAAATAGTGCCTAATTTTGCCTTTATTCATCTCATATCAGAATGAAAAGTTCTTTTACATTCTGTAAAAGTAAAACATAGGGCCCCTGACTTTATTTCCCTTCAAAAATCAATCAACTTCAGCTGGGTTTGAACCCACAAACCTCAGGTGCAATGACGAGCTGACGCTACAAACCACCAAGGTGATTTAATAAGGAAAGCAAAAATCTATTTCTTGATAAATTTTAATATTTAATTACACGCATACAAACCACACCGTTAATAACAAGAACACACCACCAAGGGATAGACGACAAGTCCTGTACCATGGAAGATAAAAGCAACCCACATTGGTTCACAAATAAAATTATCTTAAAATAATTTTATCCACATACTCATAAATATAATTTTAACGTAAGGAAGTCTGCTGTGGTGAAACAAATTGAATTTTTATATAAAATACAGTGGAAGATTTTTAATTATCCATTAGGGAAGTGATTGCAACTACGCCACTTCTAAGTAATACAATTCAGAAACGTTATTACAAAAAAATTCTTATGTCAACATCTATATGACAAAACTCAACAACTACATATAGTGAGCATCATAAATGTTTTAAGTGTTTCTACTCTTAAGAACTTTTACGTATTAGTGGATTCCTGATCGTAGAGGCATACCTCTGATGATGATTCATTATGAATCAAAACATGCTGGGTAACTAAGTGCTAAAGTGGTGGAAGCATTATATGTCACATTGGACTGAAATAAACTTAATTGTTTAATATTTAATTTTACTTTTTGTTTTTATTATCTGCATCAGCACTGTGTTACCATCATTATCTTTATGTGCCCCATTAGTATTGTGACATGTTGACCCCTACCTCCCCAGCTGCATGTAGCTGTAACGTAGCGCTCGCGTAATAGGCGAGTAATCACCCCACATCCTGGTAGCTATGCAACGCGCGGTGACGTCACGAGTGGAGCCGACGTTAGCCGAGTCCCCGCAACCTTGAAGCTATGCAAAGCGAATCGACAGCGGTGACGTCACCGAGGGATATCGCGGTTGCTAGGCAGCAGTCAACAACTCTGGACAGCGTGGCTAGCAACAAGGCACCAGACGACAATTGTCCGATCAAGGCTACATAAGGAGCAGCGAAGGCTATTCACAGTCAGTTGTACTGAGTCAGCCAGTCAGTGCGTTACCAACGAGTTCTCAGATCGCAAGTTACGAGCTACAGACGCGTGTGCGATAACCAGTGATAACCAGTTATATCTGGAGTGTGTAATTCAGGGAGACTTGTATAGCTCCCACGTTATTAATACGTGAAGACTCTTGAAGATAGCGTTAGCAGATTTTGTTGTAGGGTTTGTAAAGTGTGGAAACCCATAATATTGTGATAATTAATTGTAGCCGTTATTTGAAGATTGTTAAATAAACCAATTAACCATCTCTATGGCGTCTTCTGTAACGAAACACGTTACAGTATGTATGTTCCCACTAGATTTTTGCATTCACCCAATGCTCAAAGGGCTAAATAAAATGACACAAAAACATGGACGCCACTAGAGGAAATAATGCAGGAAAAAATGAAGAGTTATGTTCTCAAATGTATTTCAGTGGGAATGACAAAAATTCAATAGCACTGAAATATTTTGACTTGAAAACTAGAGCACTGTGTCGATTTCAAAAAGTGAACAGTTGCCTGAGGATGGCCAAGTAAGGCCGAAACATGTGGTAAATGACTGTGAGTTTAATGTTATTTTAAACAAACTGAAGGCAATGAGACGGATCAGATGGTGAAAATTCCAGAATTTAAGTCTGAGAGGTATTTTTAGCACTGGAACAAATTCTGAAAGAAGTGTTTTATGTGCTGAAGGGGTCTACTTTGAGGAGATCAATCCACAAACCCTGCAAGTACAGCACCTCAGTTTTTAACGATTCTGTCTTTATACCACATTTCTTTACTCTTATCAGAAATTTACATTAATTTCTACCGGTTAATGCCATCCCCCACTTGTACACTTGTATATTTGTACATTTATAGGCACCCATAAATAATACTGAGTGAGCGTTGTGTGTATAAAAAATTCCTCAGCCATTTCATACTGCTAAATCTGTGTCATAATTCTCACCTAACAAGATTCTCATTGGAGCCTGGTGCACTGCATACATCACACTTTGTCATGATATCTGTGTCCTTTGCCTTCTTGTTGCCTGATGATACCCTACCACTACTAGTTCGGGCCCTGGCAACAATCGGTGAAGGAGTTGATATTGTTTCCGTACTCGAAGTTGCAACAAACATCTGAGGACCAGACGATGATGCTCCCTCCCCAACTGGCATTGGTATTGGTTTGATCTAGAACAAGAACTCATAAACATTAAATGTGCACAAAGAATTATCAGACACTAAAATCACTGAACTGCTTTCCTGCAAGATATGAGAGAGTCAGTAAACAGGACACAAATGGAAGTAAAACAGCTGTAATGGATGTAATAGGTTTCCTATGTGTATCACTAGGTAGCAGCACAGTACAACTTCATGACAGTCTTGGTAGCAGACATGCACACACATGTTCAGAGGCTGGTTTTAGTAGACAAAATGGTGACTGTACTTGAGGAGTGTACGAACAGAGAGCAGCATTCTGTTGTGCATTTTCTGTGGACAGCAAAGGATATTCATAAAGAAATGTTTCCTCTTCATGGTGGGAAGTGTTTGCTGCATAAAGTGGTTCACAACTGGGTGGCAAACGTTTCACTGGTAACAAAGTGGCTGAGACAAGAGTCAAGACTGCTATGCTGTTTCTCTTCAACACACTGGTAAAGCGATGGGGCAACTGTATCAATGTTGAAGGATATGTCAAGAAATAAATGTTTCCTCAGGTTCAAATATCCCATGTTTTACATTTTACATTCATAGACCTATTTACTGACTCTCCTCAGAAAACCGCTCACTCATGCCTTTTGCATATTCAGTTCAGCTCGGTATAATATTTTTGGAACTTTGACTGCACGGCTGATAGTGTAGTAGTACTTGACATGGGCTTACTGTAACACACACCACATGACGTGCATGTTCTGACTGGGGTCTTCTCGTTTGTGACATCATGCAGTCCTGTAGGCAGACGTTAACGTTTTGTTCTACCTCCACCTTCAGGGTCAGTGTGTGTATGGTGAGGAACTGCTTTGGTTATACAGGCAGACACAAGAAAGGTGGGCACTAAGACCCATGGGAGGGGATAAGGAAATACAGCCTGATACAGGCCAGTGGGACAAGTGGGTTGGAAAAAAGGATAATACTGTTTTCTGTCACAGGAGGGAAATTGAATTGTAAGAAAAGGCAGTCCCTCTTAGGGCCACAGCACTCTTTTTCATCACAGAAGGGAAAATGAAGTCCTGAAGAATATGGCCCTTCTCAGGGCTTCAGTATGCTTACATCACAGAAAGGAAATGGTATACTGGGAAGCAGGGAAACATGATACTTTTCAGGATCTCTTCCGATAGCGTGCAGGAAGTGAGGGATCAGCCTCAATTTGAGCACCCAAGCAACAGTTGTCACCTCAGGAGGGGGTCACTATCTTGTGAATGTTATTCAACTTTGGTGTATCTGGCTAATGGCTGCGTCCTCATTCTAGGGTGTGGTGTTATGTGGATGATTCTCCAAAGAATCTAAAGCAGTTTTTTTCTTGCTTCACTTGTAGTGAACACATCAATATGTGGTTCCAGTCATAATCTTGGTCATGTCATGAAGACATGGCCTCACAAATTTCTTGTGGACAATCTGTGTGATACACAAGACCAAACACTCACTTGCAAATAGTGATATGAACCTGGGACCTCTTGAATGCTACACTCAGTGTTCCTTCATGAAACTAGTGAATAAAAAGTTTACAATTGTATATGTTCATTGTGTTGTCAGGAATGCATACACCACATTTCAGAGGACCACAACACACAAACTCTGACCCATGGCTGTGCACCAGCAATACGAGGCTGGCAGACTGGTGACAGCTGATCCAAACAGGATGGTTTGACACAGCAGCTCCCACACTTCGCAGACCTCACTGCCAGTCAGGCCTAAATACAGTCACATGATATTCACATTTTGGTGCAATCCAATTTCTAAGAAAAGAATTTAGAAGTACCTTTATCCTAATTCTGGGTGTCTCTTGTACGTTGGGGTTTTCAACATCAAGGCTCTTCCTCTTGCGTTTGCGTTTGTGCTCCTTACTAGGGCTCACTCCTTGCAAGTCAGGAGAGTAACGATGATGCTTCTCCCTCCGTCTCTTCTTGCTCTGCCTCTGTCCCTGATGCTCCACTGAATTACTTGTGACTCCCACCACATTGCAATTCAGCACCAAAGGTGAGGTTACAGTTGCTGTAGGGGAACCAGCACCTCGAATTGTAAACACTGGTCTTGGTGGACCAACTGGCTGTGGCTCTATGGGTTTGATTGTTACCTAAACAAAATAATTACTTTTACAATGACACCTTCTACAAAAGAGTTTCTCAACCATGGACCAGCACTGGTCTACAGAAAATGTTTACCAATTCGAAAAACTTGCCCTATGAAAGGTCTTTTCTCTTTTAGAACTGCTGGGAAAAGACTCCATTTATGAACAATGCCTGTCTTGCAAGCTCTCTCTTTATAATGTATGCAAGGTCCACAAATGAAATGTTTATTTAAGAATTTAATATACATCTAGACTTACATAATTTTAACGACCGTGGTACAGAATTTAGACATTTTACCAGTCCACAGGGTAGTTTTTGGTTGCCAAATAGTGTTCTCATGAAGAGATGAATGATCGTAGTGCTTACACTTGTGATCACAATTTAAAAAACTTACTACTTTGAAAAGGGTACTTCACACTCAGTGCATACGGTGTTATTTTATCATACTGCACCCAATAACTTATTTACTGCCTATATCCCTGTGATATTTACACATATATTCACATTTTAACACAGAAATCTATCTCAGTTGTGAACACGCTTGCATGTGCACGCCCTCATACATGCACATGTACATGCTTGTATATGCACCAGTACAAGTGCCTGTGTCACACACATAATATGCTTTAAGATTCAAAAACTCAAGTACCTTGCTTAATGGGACATCTGAGTAGTTGCTTCATTTCATGAACTGAAGCCCAGAGTGTCAAAATTTTAAATCAGCTACATTTTCACAGTGACAAGAGGATGTGAGAGGATGTGTGAGGCTGTTCTTTGTTTTCACATCTTTCACAAGTAGGGCTATCTACTCCTCCTAGTCTCAACAGGTGTCCTTTCAAGTGCATAGTTCCACTCCACTTCTCAGCTGGTTCTTATTCAATCCTAAGAGGTCTCTAGTCTTTTGTAATGAGAGTCCCTACAGGAAGTTGTTCATGTGTTTGTGTCTAGACAACAGACTTGTGATGATTTTTATTGTTTCTGTTCATCTAATACTACTACTTGTCATCATCTACATTTTCATTGTCATCACTTCAAGTTCTATAAATTTTTAATAAAAAACTCTGTGGCCAGTAGTCCGCAAGCAAACTATACTGACCGAGCAACCGCCACTTGTCAGCAAAGTTAGTGCCAACTTTAGCAGATAGAGGGTGTTGTGTTGTCAGCGCAATGGATCCCCACAGCTGTTAATCTTGGTTTTCTAGACTGGAGCAGATAAATTAATATCTTTACAAATTTAATTTTGCCACCAGGCCAATCACAGTAGCTGCACAGTCTAAGGCATGAAATGTCTTCGCCCACTCAAACATTGGGATTTTGGGTTCAGATCACACTTGATTCATGGCTGTCTGTATTTTTCTATGTTTGTGTTGTCCTATGTAGGTAGTGGCCTTGCAACAGGCACCATATGGCAGCCCTGACTGACCAACATGTGTCACTTCAAATCAGAATTTTATTCCACATTAAGCTAGAGCATCTGGTGGTCAGTTTAAGCCACATAACACTCAAGTCATCCATCAAATTTGAGTTGGGATTTTTTTGACCAAGGATTGAAACCTTTGCCATCTGTAAAAGATATCACCCCTCTCCCCTTCTCTTGGAACCCACATTAAGCTGTAAATCTACCTCTATCAACCATTATTCTCATAACTGCCCTATCACTGGCTGCAACAAAATCCACCTTATGGGTCCACCCACCTCCAAACTGGATTTTATATTCTTGTTTAAGTGGGCCGAGGCAAGAAAAAGATTATGCTGGCCTCAAATGGAGAAACTACATAAACATGTATATATCAAGTTTCATAAGTCTCATCCAGATTCTTCAAGTCTGAACACAAGGCAATATCAGTTATGAATAAATCTGGCTACTGGCTTATCATCTGTGCATCACGCTACCATGACTGCGCATTCACAAATCTGGCAGACCTATTACAGTATAAAGTTAAAATCTGGCCACCAGGGCCACAGTAGCATGAGAAAGCATCATACTGAACATGATGAACATCTTCATATGTGCCTGGTTACTATCAGAGCTACTTACCCTTGGTGTCAATGGTGTCAGAGGTTTCTCAGCTTCCTTGTTGTGTCGAAGTCGACGTGGGGCCTCAGTGTCTACGACCTCAAAGTCAGAACCTGATGACTCTTTGTCGCACTCAGAACACTGCCTACAGATTAAACATTTATTTTTTAAATAGCATAGGAGCCACACACAGAAGCCCAGACATTTTGCAACTTATCTGCATCAAAGTCAAAATCTGCAGCATGATTAACATTATAAAAAAAATATCATCAGTACACACCAAAGCGACATCATAGGGAAGTCCTTTTTCAGTCCATAATTTTCATGCTACAAAAAATACTAAAATTCTTTTTCTCCTAGAGAGTTATTTAACACACTTTCACTAGACAGACTACACAGTGTAGGGTGGCAGATGAATGGCAAGTTGGAGAGGATCTGGAAGGAAGTGGTTGTGATCTAATCAGACCAACACTTACTAGGAGCAAATGAAGAAAACAAAACAAAAAGCTGTCAAAATAACAAGTATCCAAGCTGAGATCTGAACTGAGTACCTCCAAATTATGAGTACAGAGTGTTATCAATAAGCCAACCCAATGAATAAAATGCATTTTTTGAAATCTTGGAAAAAGAACACTTCAAAACAAGAGCTATTTCCCACAGCTGAACATTCCGAACTATTTTATGATAAAACACTTTAACCGTAAATACGAGTACACATAAGACAGGTTTCAAGCACCTCTTCTAAACAAGCGCTTACATGAAAATGACGACAGAAACTGCTGTTGGCAGAACCTGCAACCAATGCGTGCAGCACTACCAGCACAGGATCACTGCAACTCTACTGCTTAGTCAGATATGATATTTATATTGTGACATGTAGAGCCATTTCCAAGCAGGCAACAGTACAAGAGCCATTGCTAGGGAACAGCTCTGTGGACTCATTTCCACAGCAATGAGAACACACGTAATAATGGAAGATACATTTTCTGTGCAGTCCATACCAGGACTATATAATGAGGATTAGTAGTACAGTTGTTGTTGAGGCAGTTGAGAATTGCAGTTGTGAGGAGTAAGAAACTGGCAGCTGAGACCAGGGACAGTTCAGGAATCCACAGGAAGGGAACATCCACCATTGGAAGCCACTATCAAGTAAAAGCTAGTGAAGACAGAGAAGACTTTATGTGTGCTGTAGTTATAGTGACCTATGGAGTGTGAAACACAATAAGACTGTCATAGTTATTTGCTGTTACATTCTGTAAGTGTTCAAAAAATCCAATTACTGATCCAAACCCCATCTACAGTCACTCAGTTACGTGACAACATGCTGGATCTGAAGTTCTCACAGCAGAGACTATGAAGAGTACAGTATTCTTTCTGGGTTGTAATGTCATGCAGCTCCTCTCTGCTTGCCACCTGCTTCTTGATGATCTCTTGTTTGGCTTGCTCATGTTCAAACTTCCCCCTGCCTTAGGTATGGAGTTGTGTTGGCAGATCTGGTGTATGTTAGAGAAAGCAAGACCTTTTACATCTAACATGATGAGGAGGGAACCCATGGTATTAAAATCCCTAAAAAATAACAAGTCACACATATGAATTCTACAAGCTGACAAGGGAAACTGCATGGTGGTATTGGACGAGTCTACTTACAAGGAGAAGATAACCAGCCTGCTAGAGCCAGGGGTATATGAAATTTTACACAAGGATCCTACAGCTCAAATTGAGAGGAAGATACGGACACTCCTCACAAAACACAAGACTGTCTTTCCCGATACCTTGAATCATAAACTGACTGCCTACCACAGCAAAACCCCTCACCTCTATGGACTTCCCGAGATACACGAGCCAGACATCCCACTCTTGACTCTCCCTGTTATGCACTACAAGAGTTCCCCCGTAAGATTCTAAGCACTCAGGCTGGCAACACAGGTTCCTTCGTAAAGAACTCTGAACTCTTTATAGAATTGATACAGGATATCAACCTGCAAAAAGAAGACTGCCTTGTAAGTTTTGACGTTGTTAGTCTATTCACCAACGTACCAGTGGAAGAGGTCTTACAAGTCATAAGAAATAGACTCAGTACGGATCCTTCCTTCCCAGAGCGCTCACCTTTACAAGCTGAAGACGTCATGGAACTACTGGACATCTGCTTAACAACCACATACTTCCAGTCTGAAGATACATTCTATCAGCAAAAAGAAGGTATGGCAATGGGAAACTCACTATCTCTGGTGGTCAGTAATATTTTCATGGAGCATTTTGAAGAAATGGCATTGGACACAGCTGAATACAAACCCGCTAAATGGCTTAACATATGTCAATGACACATTTGTGATATGGCCATATGGACCAGAAAAGCTACAGGAATTTCTTCAACATATCAACATCAGGCATACCATTAAATTCACTATGGAAGTTGAGGCTAATAATGCACTTCCATTCTTGGACGTTTTTATTATGAAGCGGGGTCCAAAACTGACCACCAAAGTGTACCAAAAGCCTACTAATACTGGTTGTTATCTTCACTTCAAGTCCAACCACCCACATCACATAAAAAGGGGAGTTGTCCATAGTTTGGTCAACCAAGTGAAGGTCTTATGTCAAAACCAGAGGGATTTTAACAATGAAATAAGTAACATAAGACATGATCTGATGCTCAGTGAATAACCAAAAGAATTCGTTGACTCTGTAATGAAGGCATCAGCAAGAAATAGTCCCTCTTCAGACAGAGTATATCAGGGCACTGTAGTCATCCCATATGCCAAGGGTACCTCCAAGAAATTCAAATCGGGAACCGTTTCCAACTCAGAACCACCTTCAAAACTAAACATACAATCCCTGGGACACTGATGAAAACTGGACCTGTTAGAGATGCCCAGCAGATGAAGCAGTGGGTGTATACCATCCCATGCAGCTGCAGCAGAGGTTACATCGGTGAAACAAGCAGACCCTTAGAGGTATGCATTACTTACTTACTTAATTATTTACCTACTCATGGAACTGAGCCCTTCTTGAGGAGCCACCAATTCTGCAGCTACTCAAGAATTTACAGCATCTTATGGAACCCGAAGGTTCATTACCGTGTTCACAAGAGCCCTCCATTTGTCCCTATCCTGAGCCAGATCAATCTAATCCATACTGTCCCATCCTATCTCTCTAAGATCCATTCTTTGTGTTCATTCTTGTAATACGATTATTTTCTATGGTGAGTTGTTGTTAGCCCCACGGCCAACACTGAATCTGGAGGACCACCTCTTGTCGGCTGTCCACGACTGCTTATTCAATATATTCGCAGCTTCCCTCCAAATCTGGAGGGTGTCTCCTCCATCCGCAACCTGAGGACGCACCCTGTGGTGGTGACAAAGAACCCACCTAACATGGTGGAACACAAATATAACCTGACAAAGGGTTTGTTGGAAAAATCAAAATTAGTCCAACATGCATACAAGGTAGGCCACAAAATATGTTGGAATGAAGCAAAGGTCTTGCAGACTGAGCCCAACACCACATACAGGAAATACAAGGAATCGGCCCACATGTCTCTGCTGGACCATCCGATCAGTCAGCCCAGTGTGGATATCTCTCCCATCTGGACCCCCATCATCACGGCAGAAGTCAAGAGACTACAGCGCCATCAAGTGTAGTTGAAGTGAGAATTATTTGTTTTATGTGTTGGTACCACAAGGTGTATTGCTTCTCTCCAGCAATGATTTCATTCAAGATACTTCTCTGGTGCAAGGCCCCATATGTGTGGAGTTTCAATAACTGAATATTTTCTTAGCTATCGTAGATGGTTTGTGCTGTGTTTGATTTATGTAGCCCTTTTTGAAACCAGCACAGGTGTCCGGGGATAGGGACTAGCTCTATATAATGGACCCAAATGAGGTTTTACCTGAGGACGAGGACAGAATTCAGTCTCCAAAATGTTGTTTTGAAAAATATACAGGACAGTTTTTTAGAAAATAGACAGGATGATGGATAATGTCCAAAAACATAATACTTGTTGCTCTTCCACCACAAAAATGGAGTTCATGTTTTCCTCTGAAACACTGGGCCTTAACCAAACTGCACTGTGTTTGAACTCAGAAGTCATGTACTCTTCATATTTATAGGTTGGAAGAAGCAGGAAGCATGTCCAATAGCCCCTTTCATACAAGCCCCTGGCTCACCTTCCTGTGGCACAACCTGTTTTAACTAAGAACGCTGTGAGCAGTGAAGTCCAATGGCTAAGGTCAGCCCCCACAACCGCATCTGATGCTTCAGACCAGCAAGCCAAGTACCAAACTAACACCCTGCTCTCCAGTTCCACAAGTATATTCTGTGGGTTACTTAACGTCACCGTCAGTATCTACACTGAGCCTACATACACATAGTATCAGATGGTGCAGTGGCTTGAATAACAAACTGGAACTTATTTAGAACTAAGTGACTGAGGCCTTGTCGAGCACTTACCCGGAGGGACTGAGGATATCCACAAAAATCCTCAGTCAAAATAGCCACATGCAGATTAACTGTAGCTGGATTAGTGAGGGTTTACTGTACATGGAAAGAAGATGAAGATACAAAAAAAGGTAAGGAAACGAGGGGAGCATATATACACCATCTGCTGATACCACAAGTAGACAATACACTTGAATATTAAGAATAAATAAATGCAAAAAGAGAAGTTATATGAAAGCAAAGAGAAGGTTGGCTCAATTCTGCTTTGCAGTAAAACTTCCAATATTCTCCTTTGTTCTATGCACTTTCTGTTCCCACACATAATTCTTTATAAGACATATAAGTACATAATTATTTTGATTACCTAACTGAAGGTCCCACAGTTCATGGTCAAAGTACACTTACCATCCCATGAGTTTGGTCTTCTTGGGCATACGAGTGAGCGGGGGATTGAGGCACCCCAAGTGATAGAAAAGGTGGCAGGTGTCACACTTGGCCAGCAGATGCTGGTCTTTTGTCTGATGGCAAATCCCACATTCATTCAGTGGGATTGGACCTGCTTCTGTTAACCAGAGAGCACAGAATGAGTCCCTTGTCACTTTACATTACAGCAAAAACTGTGGACAAGAATAATAATAAAGTACATACATAAGAAAACACCAACATATAAAAATGATGGATAAGCAATATTACTAAGTTTTAGGGTCCCCTTAATTTGGAGTCAAATATTTACAGTTTCCTCTCATTTCTTTCAATTTTAAATTTCCTTCATTATTCAAACTTTCATCTTCTGAATAATGACACTGTGAATTCTTTTTTTGATGGGTTATCTTATGGCACTCTCAGTATCAGTGTTATATGGTAGGATGCTAAACGTATGATGAATTGAAAAGTATCTGGAAGGAACTCGTCACAGATCAAGATACCATGCAATCTGGTAGGTGGGTATCAACGGGAACATACTGTCTCCATTATCAGCATGGAAGTGACATGTGTAAGGAAAGAAACTTGTGGAGAAATGGGTCACAAAGGACACAAGCGACCAATCAGAGCCAGGAACAGGGAGAAGTATCAACTGGAACATACTGTCTCCATTATCAGCATGGAAGTGACATGCGTAAGGAAAGAAACTTGTGGAGAAATGGGTCACAAAGGACACAAGCGACCAATCAGAGCCAGGAACAGGGAGAAGGAGATGGGGCCTTGACATCTCAAATGGAGTAGCATGTCTTCAAAAGGGTAACTACTCTAGGACAGGAATACCTGGCTTTAGAAAGCAATGAAAATGAAAATCTGCATGAACTGTTTAACAGCAAGATGTGTACCACTGAAGGGCTTAGTGTGTAACAAACTCCTTGAGTTTGTCTCATAAAAATGTGAGGTACATTAACTTGAATACCCCCTGTGTGAAGATGATTTCTTGTGCAAAAATATAAATATCATCCAGGAGAACAGGGAGTTCTACTGGATGCTAGTAAGAAGGCTGATCCAGATGTAAATGCACAGAAAAAAATAATGGTCAGGAAGCATAGCAAATCTTAACATAAAGGTCAGTTCTGTTCTATTATAGCACTACAGCCCCTTGTTGGGCCTTGGCCACTTTTTCAGTTTCTTATCTATACACAGCTGGTAGGACTCTTTGGATGTGGGATCAGTCCATCACAAGGCCTCTACCTACACACAGAATAAATGCACACAGCCCCATGCCTCAAGTGGGATTCAAACCCAGTACCCCAGTGTTTGAATGGGCAAAGACAGTTCATGGCCCCAGTCCGTGCAGCCACTGTAATCAGCAAAGAAAGCCAGTTAATCCTCTATAAATGTGGCAAGCTCAAATAAAACTGCATTCACAAAGAAATAGAGAAGAAAACAACTTGAGCAATGTTTGCTGCCAATCAGTTCAGAATTCTTTACCTTATAGTTTGCTATACAGAAATGTACAGAACTATGCTGTAATTCTGTGTGTTGTTTTACATTGGTGTGAAACTTGGTCCCTCACACTGAAAAAAGAACTTAGACTGAGGGTGTGTCTGATCAGTGAGCTGAGGGGAATATTTGGACTCAAGAGGGGGGGAAGTAACACAAGGCTGGTGAAGACTGCATGATGAAGAGCTTCATAACTTGTACTCCTTCTCAAATATTATTAGGGCGATTAAATCAAAGAGGACCAGATGGCTCAAGCACACATAAGGAATGGCAGACATGAAAAATGCATACAAAAGTTTAGTTGATTACTTCTCTAATTTTGTATTCTGGCTAAAAAAATATAAATTATTTTTCCCCAATGCATGTATGGCACTATTTAAAGCCAAAAACAAACAAGAGTGATGCTTGCTAAGACAATAATTAAAATGTATGCATACAGAGGAGCTCAAACAGCTAAGTCAACAAAGCAACTAGGTTATGGGCTGGGCGACCAATGAGATGGGATTCAATTCCTGCTAGGGGGAACAGATCTTTCTTTTCTCTAGTTCCCGCCAAACCTCCTGTCTAATGGGTACCATGGGCTCTTTCCCCATGAGTGAAGTGGATGAGGCATGAATATCACTCAAGACTATCTAGTGCCAACGTTAAAAATGTGTGGAGCTATACCTCCACTCCCCTTATCCATATGATGTGACGCTTAATTAAGCACAGGGACAACTTTACTTTTACATTACACATAAAGCAACAAGGCATGATAAATCAACACTTGTGACAACACTCACCAGATCTCTGATTAGGAAGTCGTCCTTCTGATCGACCTGTTTGTGGTCTTGATGCAAAACCAGTTGGGGATACTGCCAGCACACGAGGTGGAGGTTTACCGAGCTCATCAATCGCAGGTAGATCTTTGGACGGACAGATGTGGAGGATAGCAGAATGGTACTTGTGAACTATCTGCTTCAAGGTGATGCTTGTCCTGCTGAGGTCTGCATTCTCTTTCAGCAGCTGATGACATCACACAACACAGTGAACCTGCTACTTCATGAATCTCTGGGGGAATGGCTTTAATTACATTAAATCATTCTTTTCACTGGATGGGGGGGCATGCAAAATTACATAAACATATCGCTCAGCTCCTTATGAAACTTAATATATATGTATTGGAATACTGGATAGTTCAGAGAGACCAACTGTTTCGTAGGAACACATTACCTCCATCTTCAGGGTCAAAAAGTAAGCCAAGTAACCAAGAAGAAGCAAACAAAGTGAAAATTTCTTGCTGGCCAGCTGCCTAATTTGGATTACTCTACAGAAGATGGTACACTTTATGCAATTTTACTCCACTAAAAGAACTGAGGACCATTACATGGAAATTAGCTAAATTACCAGTAACTACTGAATAAACTAACTAACCATACAGTTCAGAAAATCCATGCAACAAAATCCTTCCTGAACTGCTGATATTTATTCTGCTGTTCACGAAAATCCTTTCTCAAGGAATACCACCAAATTAATAAAACACACTTTCTCTATGATGCAACCAAGACCATCGATTCCAGTTCACCTTCCTTCCCAAACATCCATTCCTCCGAACATCACACACCAATGGTTTGCGCTATTACTTCATATTTCGGAGGTTCCAGGTTCAAGCCTTCACCTGGACACTAACAATCATAAAGGTTTTCAGCATTTATCTCACTCTATCCATATAACAGCTCAAAAGCAGCACAACTAGTTTTCTTCAGAATGTTGACAGTTCATTATTCACAACTGCCTTACATTTCCACACCACATAAGCACTGCTGTTATAAAAGCAACATTAAACCATCACCACAATAGGACACAGATGCTATATGAGGCATTCAGTGGCTCTGTCTGTGGCTTAACGTATATCACACATTCAGGTATGAGCTTAATTTCTCTGGCTCCTAAATATGAAATGAATAACTCCAGGGCAAAGAGGTTTGCACTGGCATGTTGTGAAATGAACTCTCTGTTCATGTACCAATATCCTCGTATTTCCTGAAGCCGAGCAAATCAGTCTAAATATTGTCACATGTATGAGTGATTAAAGACAGGGTTCAGATTGGTAATTGGATTTATCAACCACCAGCAGGTTGTAACTACAAATAATTATTACACTACTGATTATTTACACAATTCACAATTACTCCACAATAATCTTCTTAATCTATTTCACCTAGTGTTCACTATCCGTTGCCTGGCAACGAATTTACAATACAGGAACTATAAAAGTCTCACTAAATCACACACTCCCAATATCACCGTGCTGCTACACATATAAAGTCTTCAAAGCACACGTTAAATATTCACAGGCCAACTTCTTGTACTCTTTTCTACTCTTCCTGCTTACCACTATACTCCGGCCACTTAGTACTCTGCTTAGGAATTCTGCTCACTTATACAGACACAGTACAGACATGGACCTACAGAAAACACATCACAGGACTGCTATCCAGCCAGTCCATTGGCACTCTGGCTGAACCTACAGAAAACACATGTCGCGTGATTTCTAAGTATTCTTGTTACATCACTGTGTATCCACAAGCTGCACAGACACAAGGAAAACAATGCTGCTGTATTGTTGCCACATGTGTGTTGCGGGTGTTGTCTGGCAATGGATTTATGTATCAGAATATACATATGTGACCACATATTCATCATGGCCAGCCCATTAACAAGTTGTGCACTCATGGAGTCTGGACAAGTACAAGTTCTGAATGAAATTTTGGATGATGAAAATATTGATGAATTCAGTTTGGAAAATGACAGGATTTTTGCCAGTGTTTAGACACAATCTGTGACTTCAGGAACCCACATGATTAGTGACAGTGAGAGTGATACGAGTGGCAATGAACAAAAAGAAAACATAAACACAGGATTGGGAGGGGCTTCATATAAGTTTGTGTGGCAAAACACAGGCTCATTCCCCACTTCACAAGAAACATTTTACGATATGTATGGTCCCCAAGTTCTACAGTGGTGAGCTGGATGTCATGAATGAATTTGAAAACATTCTGATGCAGCTCTTGTGTTACTCGCTGGAGATAAAACCACGACATATGCTCAGCAACAAATTTTGAAGTGTAACCCTTTCACATTTCGCTCTAGTGGGAAGATGCTACAGTGGTCAAATGCACACCATTTTGGCTCTGTTTAGTTTGATACGCACTGTAGGAAAGCCTACACTTATATAAGACTCCGCAAAGAACTGACTGCTACTCACTCTACTTTTTTCCTAGAGGTAATAATCAAACATATGCATTTTTCTTATAACAGTAAACAAAACTTTTCAAAACATATCCAGCCATTGAGCATCTACATAACAAGTTCCAAAATCTGTATCCTCCACCCCAAACAGTGATAGAAAATTTCTTCAGTTTTTCAATTCAAAACTGCATTTTAGCAATCAGTATTTGATTTTATAAATGCTAAGACATTTTGAGTAGAAGCCTTGCGATGAACTGATCACCCACCCAAGGAGTCCTACCGAATGTGTAAGATCGAGAAAAACCGAAGTGAACGGAGAAGTTCGTGGAGGTAGGCCTAGGCACTGGGGATGTAGTGCCAAGGGGGAAAAAAAAGACATTTTGAGAATCATTATCATCTCCTTTGTACTATGCATGTTTCCCAGAATATCTCCCCTTCTCCCCTCTCCTAAGGTGGGGGATGCACACATTTTTGAAACCACAACATTTGAGTATAAAACTGAAATATAACTCACTTGGTCGTATTTATGTCTCAATGTTTGCTGTTCATCTTGAAGCTGGTTGTTCACTTCAAGTAGATCTTCCAGCTTTCTCTTCATACTGGTTAACCTCACATTACGATCCAAGTAATAGCCAATGAATTCCACACTGAAATAGTAATTGCAACTGATGACCAATTATAATGTTCTACAACACAACTGCCCTGTAAAGGTCAATGGAAATGCCAGACAATAATGAAAATAAATCACCACATAAACAGACGACACATTGAAAGCACACAGTATATCTCTTTCTGTCTCTACGACTGGATATGTAGGGCAATGGAGACCTGTAAAAATGTAACATGTTCTGAACATTCAGAATGCTGATAATAAATAGCCAATTTCAATAAATATGAACTGTACCTTTGATTTGTTTCATTCTGGTCCATCACACTAACAGTTATAAATACAAACCACTCCGTCCAATGTGACATATAAGTTTTTACTACGTGAAAACTTATCTTTGTTCGTGGCAGTGAAAACAACACAGCAAGCCATGAACAAACCCTGGATGACATCAAGAACCTCCTCATCCAGATAGACAGGCGGCACAAAATCTGCCCCATACAAGAAGGACAATAGGAGCATGGACACGAACCTACGTGGTTTAAAAATTTTAACTACTGACAATAAAGGTTTTTAAATAACATCTAGAAACTTTTAAAAACTTTACAATACCAGGAAGCTGCTGTGATTGTGAAATGTTCAACTTTATGCGTACTGTGCGTTATAGGATATAAGTGTATGTATTTTAAATCAAAACACCTATTGTGATGGTAGTTTCAAGTCTGTAATGATGTTCCCTCTGAAGATGGTCCATAAGGACCGAAACATGTGAGGGAGATAAGTTTTCATGTAGTAAAAACTTATATGTCACATTGGAGAGAGTGGTTTGTATTTATGAACTGTACCTTTAATAAGATCTTGCCTGCTAAGTCTGCCATCTACACACTGAGAACGCTGACTGTATTAATGTGCATTTACCTTCTCTGATTTTGGCAGATTTTATTCTGTCTTACCTACTATGCATAACATTGTTTCTTACCCTACTTAATGATAATACACAAGATAATTCTATGTGAAATAACATGTTTCACGTCTATTTTCTTTCAAAAGTCTATGTACAAGAGGTAAAAGCAGTCAGTTGTGTAATTTAATGATTTACTTCTGCCGATGATGTGAATCTACTGTGTGATAATATAGATACCATAAAGAAAAACACGCAGACTTTAATTGACACAAGTAAGGAAGTTGGTCTAGAAGTAAACACAGAGAAAACTATAAGTTGCTGTCTCGTCAACATGTTACAATATATTTGCTATTTTAACTATACACCAATCTGAGGAAGAGCTTTTATGTTAATATTTAATACGAGGGTTGGAACTTTAATAGTGGCAACACTGCTGTAGAGACACCATGCAACAGAACCAAATAATGTCACTTATACCACACGTTAGTTACATACCTACCTTACTTCAGAGCAAATGGACTGTCCTTCCCACATCACGCGCATGTGCAGTGACGAGAAGAACAGAGCCTCGTGTTAGCTGGCGGTCTAATGTAGTGTTGTCACAATGTTTTCAAAACAGGAACAACGGAGTTGGATAAAGATTGAATGTGCCAGAGGCTGTACAGCACGACAGTGTCATCAAGGTCGTATGAGCCACAAATGAAACGCTAATCAAACGAATGGCATCATTATGGGTCACCACAAAAATCAAAAGTTCGTCAGAACCCCAGTAATGTGAAAGTTATGGTGATTCTCATGTACGACTGTGATGGTGTTAACCTAACGCATACTGTTCCCCGACAGCAGAACGTCAATGCGCAGTATTACTCACAGAGATATTGGGTTTTCGGACTTTATCCATCGTCCTGGTTTTTAAGATAACTTATACACCATCGTCAGAATCCTATAGTAACTATGCAGTATTACCGTTCATTTTTGGAACACAACATGCGACCAGCTTTGAGAAAGAAGCGGCAACACTTTCTGCAGAACCCGCCCATCATTTTGCAGGACAATGTTCAGACGCATGCAGCACAAGCTGTGGCTGATTTGTTTGATTGATGGGGCTGAGAAGTGCTGTACCATCCACCATACTACCTGGACTTAAGCCCTTGTGACTTCGACTTGATTCCTAAGATGAAAGAACCACTTCGTGGCATTCGCTTCAGAACTGTTCCAGATTCTTCAGGCAGTAGACCGCTCCATTCGAACTATCAACACAACAGGCGCTGCTAAAGGTATCCCACGGCTTCCACATCACTGGCAACGGGTTGTACACAATGCTGGTGACTACATTGAAGGACAGTAAAACTTTGAAACATGCATCTATTTTGTATCAGTTGTAAATAAATAGTTGCCACTATTAAAGTTCCAACCCTCGTACGATGCGTTGCACCGATAAGGATCCATATCGGTATTTCAATAACTATACATATTCCTGCCTGATGATGGTCATGTATGCCCGAAACATGTCGCAGTAAATAAAGATCTAAATGTAATAACTGAAATATTTGTTGTGTTGACGGTAGCGTAGTTCCTACATATTGTGTGGAATCATGACAAAAATGGGGTATCCTCCAACGATACAATCCTCATGTCCAATTTCATGAAAATGTATCAAATGTATACATGTTACAATCAGAAGATAGGCTTACACTGACATGACAATATCATGGTGCTATCCCCCGCACAAGGTCGTGCACGGAAAGGGTGTATGTATTTCATAATGCAGTACATCATGGCGTTCTTTTAGGCTCGCTTCAAAACAGGAATAATAAAATAGAAATCAGTGAAAGCCTCCCACTTCAAATTTCAACAGAATATATGGAGGGGTTTATGGGTTACATAGAAAAGTCCAATTACAGCCTTATGAAAATCAGGCTTTATCATAGATTAATATGGCTGGAAATCAGATTTACCCACCAACTGAATCTAAAAAAAAAAACACATGAAACAGTTTATGTAAAACATGTTGAAGTCCATTTACAGTCTTATGCAAGCAAGACTTTAACTGAGTCAAAACCAATGAATATCATAAGTGCCCAAAAGTCTTTAGTAAAAGCCTCCCACGCCATATTTCAAGAGAATTTATCCATCAGTTTAGGCCCTAATACCAGGCCAAAGACAGAGTGAGATAAAACCTCCAAAATAGCATAACTACATGACATACCTGAAGGCAGGAGGGATATGCCATTTCTTGCGAACATCAACAAGAGCTGCCACTTGGGCTTCCTGAATCTCCAGCGCCTGAGTGTCAATGCCCATGAGTTCGGCTTTGTGTAGCAACTTCCGATATGCAGACGCACTTGTGGTCAGCAACCGAGGCATCTTCTGAGTTGGTACTGAAATTAATAACGTTCCCTACAAGCATCAAGAAAGTAAGACCACACTTCACAGTTTCAGGGGACTTACAAGCATTATTCCAGCATTCCAAGACACAAGAAAGATAAATAAATATGTCATATGGAATTCATAAGTATGTTTATAGGTACATACGTTTTGAGATTTTGAAAGTAGTGACTGATCAGCCTGTGACCTTGTAGGCTGCAGAGGAAGAAGGGGGAGAACAAGTGGTGGCGGTGGGGGCGGCAGCAACTTATTTACCAACACTGTCAGTAACTGAGATGATACAGTGCTGACGATTAGATGATAGTGAATAATTATTCACATTTATGCCAGTTCATTATAATGAACTGGCATAAATGTGAAAGAAAGTGGTCAAGCCGTAATTTAAGATACTGTTCCAGCATTTGCCTGGAATGACCGAGGAAAACCACAGTCAGGATAGTTGATGCCCTGGCTAAGATTTGAACCAGGTACCTCCCAACTATAAATCAGAATTTGAAGCATTACAACTCACTTCAAACAAGTAGTATATGGTCAAGAATTGGCTCAGAAAGGTGGTGGTCACGGGGACACATGTAAGGGGGGTTAAGGAAATGGAGCCAAATCTGAGGTAATGCAAGCACTACATAAGAAAAACACAATTATGCTTTCCTCCTGTGATGGAAAAAGCACTGTCCCTGAAAAGTGATATCTTTTCTCACAATTCCATTTCCCTCCTGTTATGAAAACCATAGTGTGCCCCCTGTGAGGACTATTTTCCTACTTACCATTCCCACTGGCTGGGAAAATGTTCCATTTTTCTTATCCGTTCCTTATTCCTTGCAACATGTTTCTACAACTGAACCCTCTCCTCACCTTACACCCTTGAATACTGAATACGGAGCTGGTATAGTCCTCTAGAATATCAATACCTGTCTATAAGACTACATGGTGTCACACCAGAGCAGACAACAATCTTATGTTTACATGTATCTCCAAACAATTTGATTCTGTAGCTCCAACATTTGAATAGTACTCACATTCAAAGAGAAACATAAATCCATGACTTCCGTTTAGGCTATGTTTCTGTTAATTCCACAAAAATTCCCTCAAACAAGTTGCACAATTTTCTGGAGCTCCATTCACTGTTGCCACAGGACAGACTTGTTCAGAGCTCAGAACTCCCATGAAACAAGATTCTGTTTATCCTCAGTGGCAAGTGAAACAAGACACCTATAGCCGAATTTTGGCTCCAAACTACCGCACAGACTTCAGAACACTTGCAGAAGTCTGACTTTTATTGGTAGTGTAGGATGGACCACTAGTAATTTATGAACCAAGTAATAAGCCTAAGAACTCAGGTGTTATCACACCATGTTATTAAATTCTGGCATATTCATAAAAAGAGCTGACAAAAACGTATTTCTTAGCTCCTCCATGTTGTGTGTACAAATATGACAACTCAAGAAGTACTAAGTCGACTTTCATAAAAGTGGACAACAATGGACACCTAAACACTTACATGTGTTTCTGCGCCTATATCTAGCGTAACTCACTAAATATTTACCAGAACAAAAAATGTTTCAAACAACAGTTATACAGAAAAATGAAACACTTTAAGGCCAATATTCTTTTCTCATAATTCTTATACTAAAGTAAAGGCAAATTTGTCCCTATGCTTAATAAATTAACCATTATGCCATGAAGATGTATGGGGGAGTGGATGTACATATCCATGTATTCTTAACCTTGGCACTAAATGGAGGTGAGTGGTCACCTTAACACCATGGTCACTGTACTCCTGGAAGTACCAAATGAATAGGCTAGCTGAGCCCCTGAGCTGGTCTGAACACTTCGGGGAAGAGAAAAATCTGTTACCCTTGGCAGGAATCGAACCCCAATATCTTCTGCAGTCCAGCCTGTAGTGAATCCCTATACAAACTGACCTATCCTGGTTCCTGCACCTCTTTCAGTTTCTGGCATAATTAACCCTTTGACGTGGTCATTTAAATTCCGCGGCCGCGGCTCCTGCGGTAATATATTCAGCCGACCATTTAAATTTTGCTCGAAAATTATTTATTCATCATTGTTCTTAAATTCTATGAGATAGGAACATGAAACTTTCACTAAAATGATCTTAAATGGTGGTTTTATAACCTTACCTTATAATATGGGCGCCCTGTATCTCGGCCATGGAAGCAGGTTGTTTAGTATTTCAGCAGTGAATGGTACGCCTTGAAGGATGAAACTTTCACTAAAATGA